AAAACTTCTCTGACAACGATATCCAATGTGTTGGCCATAGAGTTGGGTCCACAGGGTATACGAGTTAATACACTCAGGTATGTGTTATGTTGTGGCAAAACATTTGTACTTAAATTTCATACATTTTCAGTGTAGGAGTTGTATTAAAACCTGGAATACCGGACGAAGTAATTAAGAAATGTGCAAAATATACACCACTCGGAAGGATAGGTCAACCCATAGATATAGCCAAAGGAGTGGTATTTCTGGCCTCAAGTGATGCTGAGTTCATAACCGGTCATAATCTGGTCATTGATGGCGGACTCAAGTATAACATGTACTCAGATATTGAGGATAATAATGTAGATTAGATTAAAACTTATTAAACAAATGACTGTTTCAAATATTTTAAACAATTTGACTTCACTATTCCAATAATATGCTAAATATTATATCTAATATACAGTATTCATATAATTTATTAAGTTTTAACAATAAAACATGAATTGATGATATACTGTATAACAATTAATGGAGTATAATGTGTAACAATTATTATATCATAAAATTTGGCTAAAACAAAACTTATTAAATTATTGTTGAATTTTATGTAAGTATCTAGTATAATACAGTACTGTACTTTAATTTTAATAATCACAATTTAAGTTATAATAAATGATGTTAAATAGATTCAATAAGTCTAACAAGGTAATAGTAATTTTAGTGCATTTACTTAATACTGTAATGAGGATTATGTTAAGATAATTAATAAATTACCAATTATACTCATAACCTATAGTCTACTGAGTAGAAACTACTCTATAATCTAAATAATATTATCAGGAACATTCAAAATAAAATACTCAACGAATCAAACTTTTATTGACTGATTTTTGTGAAAGTTTTCAATTTCTGTAATAAATAACTGAATTTTGGGGAAAAACTGTTCGTCTCGTCGGAGAGTCGAGTGATTCCTACCGGAGACCCATAGGGGAGACACTCGATGTCTGCACCGCTTATACAGTGATATTCCGTGCGATATATCTATCACTTTGTCTTCTGTGCCGTGAATTATATGGACTTCCCGTATAACACAATAAGACAATAATTAATCTAAAAATACACCTTGTGTAAACAGGTTAACGCTATAATACTCGGGCAATCGACTTTTAATATGAGCTCAATGTTGGGAAAGGGATCAAAAGTCCAGGTGTTTGCCGAGTAATCAAATATAGTCCTAATTGCGGACATTAGGGGCGCTTTGAGTATAACTCCGGCCATTGATATACTCGATATGACGCCAAGTGAATGTCGGGAACCAATACTCTCTCCAACAGTACAATACGTTTACAAATCATGTGTTTATCGCAAACCAATGTCTTAACGACGGACTCAATGTCGGCGTATAGATTGCGTTCAGACGGACGGCCACCACTCAGTCCATAACCCGAGTACTCATAGGCAAAGACATTACTCTCACATTTCTTGCTTAAGCGCCGTAAATACGTAGCAATACCTGACATATGACACCAATTTGATGTCCAAATGACTGAAGTTCTCTAAACATGAGAGACATGCGTTCGGAGATTGTTTTGCGTTCAATATTGTTAATTCCAAATGATATGATATGTCTACAAGATTATCGGTTAATAACTCTAATTAATGATACTGAACGCCATATTGCATTCTTAGACATATTCAGTAGTATTCCGAGCCTTCGATAACTTATTGCTGTTTTGAGTTTCATTAGATATATTATTAAAGCTTCGAGAGGTTTATTTCGACTATTAGTGTCAATTGTTTTTAACACATTTATCGTTTGTTTTATAATCAGTCTGTTTTCAATATCTTAATACATGAATCGGTTTCAATGGAATTCATTTGAGTTATCATTTCTAAGAAATTGTCTGCACAACTTACTTCTAGAGTTATATGGCTTTCAGATCATATCAAGTCATATGAAGTTAATTCATTGTTATCTATTATATGAACACAACAACAGCGATAATCCATAGGTACGTATGGCGCGAATATTTCCAAATATTCATCTCAAGCCATTTATTTACAAGAGTCGTGCAGACATCTCCGCAAACAATACACTTATTTCGTAAACCTCTGATACACTTTACAGTTACTTGTGTTTCATTTGAATCGTCATTAGGCGGCGTGCACAAAGTACATACGCACTGGTAGG